ACCCACCAGCCACTCCTCGGAAGGAAGGTTGGGCAATCCTACTTCCGTAGTGATACTGTCTCGGAAACCCAAGGAGGGGTCGCTATGAGTTGGGTTTGACTTGACGGCACATAACAACAACAACATCCTAGTGGCCTTAATCTTTCTGAATCCTTTGTCTTGTGAAGTATGACCTAAGATGGATTACTCGCCTTCTCACGTTAGAACATTGTCCTGTAAAGTAGACCAATGCTTTCTTGGGAGAGAAAAGTTAGTCTTGCAAATCAAGACCAAAACAGCTGTGTGGGACATGGTGCCACCAGTTACCCTTCCAAGAACACAAAATTAAGTAGGCAGGGCCACAAGAACAAGCACATACTGTGGACTTTTCCTACTTTGATATCCAGTGGTTCTCCACAGTATTCAGGATCTACACCCACACCCACTGCCATAGAGTCAATTCAGACTCACAGAGACACTACAGTACAGAGTAGAACTGCCCCACAGGGTTTGCAAGGCTGTAAATCTTTATGGAATCAGACTGCTAATCTTTTCTCCCTGGAGCAGCTGGTGAGTTTGAACCATCAACTTTCTGTTCAGCAGCCAAATGCCTTCACCCTGTACCACCAGAGCTCCTGAGGATCTATAAGGTCACTTGTTAGTGTCACCAGAACACCAGGTACCTTTCCTCCTCTCAATCTCTCTGCAATTAACCAGCATCACTCCCTTAAATTGGCCACTTGACTCTGTCCCCATGACCCTCTCTGTGCATTTTGCAGGGGCCCCAATCTACATGAAGAAAACCCTATCACTGCCATGATATCCCTACCATTCTCTCCATTCAGGCCCTCCACCTTGGCCTCTGGTCTCATAGATCCCTTTCTAGAACTCACTGGTCATTGATGTGTGGTACCTTGGCCCTCTCCTGGCCATCCAATGTTCTTGATTCATTCATCGTTTCAGTCTAGACAAGAGAGAATGGTAGACTGGATGAAGGTGCCAGTAGTAGGGCTTGAGAGAAGTGGTTGGCATTTTTAGATATTTAAGGTAAAAAGCAACATTACTTGGTAAGAGATTAGATGTCGAAAATTTGAGGGAACTTTTGAGAATGACTCCCAGGTTCTGGTTTGCACAACTGGGTGAGGGGGCAGGGCTCATGGCAAGGTACTGCCAATAATAATGCTAAGAGGTTAGTAAGTTTTATCACAGAGAAGAAGGTGCACTGACATTTTTAAAGGGAGGGAGATGATCAAGACCATAGGCTATGGCAGACACAGGGTAGCTCATAGGAAAGAGCAACATGGAGATGGTCATGGAGGAGTCATACTGGATAATTCCAAGAGATAAGAAAAGAAAGAAGCTAGAGTCCCCAGTCATGGAGAGCCTTAATGTGCATATGAGATTAAGAAAAAGGCAGTGACAAATAAATAACAGCAGCTCAAATGTACTACTCAAAAAACTCTACTGCCATCAAGTCAATTCCAACTCATAGCCTTCTGACCCATAGAGTTTCCAAGGTTGTTGATCTTTATGGAAACAGATTGCCTCATCTTTCTCCCATGGAGCAGCTGTTGGGTTCAAACTGCCAATCATTTGGTTAGCAGTTGAATGCTTGGACAACTGCACCACCAGAGCTCCTATTGCATTAGTACACAAAATACAGCAAGCTCCCATACACCACCCTCAGAAATGATAGGCAAGGCCCAAACCAGACAGTCAGATGACCTGGATTCTCATAGCCTTCCTTGGAAATGCCTTCTCTAGCTCCAGCCAGGTTAGGTCCCTATTCCTTGTGATTTATTGTGTAGTATCCTATACCTATCTGTCATTGCACTTTCACACATGTAATAAGATGATGATTTGCTTCATTTCTTGTTTCACAGTCTTCCGTACTAAGCTGTAAATTCCCTGAGAGCTAATGCCACTTCTCTCTTGATCTGTGCTGTAATTCCAGGTGCCTAGTCCTGTGATAGGGTCATGTTAAATACAAAATAAAGAATATATGAGTAACTCATAAGCCTGCTAGGAATTAGATGAATATGAACTGAGTACCCTCCCATGTGTCCGGACTCAGAAATAAGGATCCTGGCCCACAGTAAAGGAGCTCTGGTGGTGTAGTGCCTAAGGCATCTGACTGCTAACCAGAAGGCTGGCAGTTCAAACCCACCAGCCACTCCGTGGAAGGAAGACTGGGCAATCTACTTCTGTAAAGATTTAACCCAAAGGGGGAGTCACTATTAGTCAGACTCGACTTGATGACAGTGAGTTTGGTTTGGTTTTTTTGGCCTGTAGTAAGGTTCTGGCAACCAGGAGGGTGAACATCTTTCTTCTTCCTATGGTAATTGTGCAGCAACCATTTATTGAATACATTCCCTGGAGCAGTTGTGTGGAAAACACTTTATATTTACATATGCACATATATTTTATTCTCTCATTCATTAGTTATTACCATATCTACTTTATAGATGAGGAAACTGCTACACAGAAAGGTGAAAAAACTTGCCCAGGGTCATACAGATTGGAAAGAAGTATGTGATTGGGATCTGAATCCAAGGAATTCCAGTCTGCAAGCCTGTATGCCCCACCACATCAGTGGTTCTTCAGCATATATGTCCACCTCAGCAACTTTCACACACTTCTAGCAGTGACATTCCCCTCAGGAACTTAAACTTCCTTTAGGGACCATGTATGTATGTATGTATGTATGTATGTATTTATTAAGTGCTTCATAAATCTAAGCACTATTATAATTTTAAACATTGGCTTTCCTCAATTTTTTACCCAAATATTTTTCTTCTACTTTAAAGAAGCTATGAAAATTAGACACAGGTTTTACATGCAGGAGAATCACCAACATGAAGCATGTTTATAAACAGAAGACATAACTTGCAATTTCAGGAAGTACTCCTAGCTCAGCATTACAGGACGATGTGTCTTGCATGCACACTCCATTTCTTTTCCCAACTCTTTCCCCTAACTCAGTCTCAAGGACTCTACCTTTCTCAGATGGACACCACATATCATGGACATCAGAGCTGGTGACTAAGGCCAAAAGCTATTCATACGTGGTAGATATTATGAGGGAAGATATGGAAAGATGACAGCAATAAAATATGTAGTTGTTGTTGTTGTTGTTGTTGTTATGTGCCGTCGAGTTGGCCCCGACTCATAGCGACCCCTCCTTGGGTTTCCGAGGCAGTATCACTACGGAAGTAGGATTGCCCAACCTTCCTTAAATATGTAGTAGAGTTTAAAATTAAAAGAAAAATGATTTATTGGTATACTAACTGTGGTAGTTATGTTTGTGGGTCAACTTGGCTGGGCCTGGTTGAGTGGCTGGGCAGCTGGTGGTAGTTATTCCCCATGATGAGACTGGCAATTAACTCCACGGTGGGATCTACCACAAGCAGCTGAGTAGCTGCCTTTGGGATGTGGTCTGCTTCCTGTATATAAGGAGAAGCTTTGAGAATGGTCTCTAGCC